GCACATGTTCACCATCTTATATAGTGCAAGCCTTTCAATTATTCTTTGCCAGTGTTTGTCTACCTTCCACTACTGGTTGGTCTTGAAAAACATGACTATGACAAGTCGTTTTCCTATCTTCTATTTTGTTAGACTACAACTAGCCAACACCAAGTTGAAGATATCACTTATCCTTCGTATCTGCCACCTTTACCACCTATTGACGAAAGGGAATCACATGCCTCATCTATGGCATCACGACTAACAAACAATAGAATCAAGTTCACTATACTTATAAATATGTATAGCTTAGGTGTCTAGAGCAAAGCCCTACATGGGGTCCTGGTTGGGTACCTATGCTTTACTCGGATGAGCTTCGCCCAACCACGCCCACCCATGGTGACTTTCGGGATGTCATACCCACCTATATCCACCCACTTTTCATGTTTTTTGAACGTAATCTGCCACAGATTGATGGCCTTGAAGCTTGCTTCCCTTTGCTATGATTGCAAACTTTCAAAACACATCATAATTTATCATAGTTGCAGCATGGTTAAATGTTGCACACTATGTAATGATGATTGCAGTAATATAAGATATACGGTGATTAGCAATGTAAATTTATTTATCCTCTGATGCTGAGTACCCACGCATACCTACTCATAAGATCATGGGCGTACCCATACCCACCCATACCCATTGGGTGGATATTAGTGTGTACATGGGTGGGTGTGTATATGAGTACCCAATACAGTGCTCTGGTCTAGAGGATCTTTATGACTTCATTTGGGGCTGCTTTTTAATTGCTTCTTAAAGAAAATTTCTAGTACAAAAGCTACTTTAAGAAGCAATAAGAAAGTCGTCCCAAATGAAGTTAATGTCACTTATAACATTAAAGTCGTGTACATTTTTCTTTTCTTCTACTCTTTATTTGGGATAGCTTGTTTAGCGCCTTCTAAATCAGTTTTATAGTACCAAGATTTTTTAAACTATAAATTTTTTACTAGAAAATTGCTTTTGAAATCATTAAAAAAATTATCCCAATCGAAACCTTGATCTCCTTCTTCCCTTTATCCTTTTTTTCTATTTGAAAGAAGTGTATATTTATTTTTTGTTGTAATATTTATTTCATCATGGTGGAATCCTTCCCATCTTTAGCTAAGAGAACTGGGCTGTAAAATTAAACAACTTAAGAAAGTCGATGCACCTATGTCTCTCTTCTTCTTACCACTCTTTCGCTCTATTCTTTAACTCTAATTATCTAAGAAGTATCTCTACCAGAGATATCCACTTCTTTTTTTAATTTGAATGCCTCTCTCAATCTGGGCGAATTATTATGTCCGGTCACCAGACATCCGAACATCCAATTCAGACGTGTCACATCACCCGAATACACTGGGTCCCGATGTATTTTGGTTACGTGACGTATCTGGACGAATCCGGACACCGGCCGTAATAATTTGCCCTAATCTGAGCTACATGGTGCCTTTCTATCAAAGTAATAGTTTCTGAAATTCAAAATTTGCCTTATCAAGCACAAAAGCAAGCATGTTTAAGTTTGTGTTGCTGGAAAAAAAATGATATAATTGAAGAAACTTTTGAAGGAATCATTAAAATAATAGGATACCAACATTCTTTCTATGATTGTTGAAGTGTTATATCTTGCTAATAATATAAAATTTTATTTAAAAATCACTGCATAGAATGATAATCTTAATAGTTGTATGTGAAATCTTCACCATATTTTAATTTTTTGCACAATTTTTTTTAAACTATTCATTATTTCTTTTTTTACTTCATCACCTTTTTTTTGACTTAATCTCCTTATCTTTGAATGGTTATGAAAGGAAGTTACTTCTTTAGGGTGCATATATGAATTCACCATATCTCTTTACGCATGAAGAAATAACTAATGAAACAAAAGATTGAGTTGCTGAACATGTTGCGCTGGAGTGCTTTCAAGTAAATACCTATTTCAATGAACGTGTCACTTAGGCTTCGTTTGGGACGGCTTTCTTCCTGCTTCATAAAGTTGCTTTCTAGTGTAAAAAATAAAATTTTTATACTAAAAAGTCGCTTTAAGAAGCAGTAAGAAAGCCGTCCCAAAACATAGCCTTAGGCTTCGTTTGGGACGATTTTCTTACTGTTTTTTAAAGCTGCTTTCTAGCACAATAATTTTAATTTTTTACTAAAAAACTACTTTAAAAAGCAGAAAGAAAGCCGTCCCAAACGAAACCTTAACCTTGGTGAAGGACTTCCAAGGATTGAAAGATTATAGGAGCTCAAAGTTGTGTTTTTCATGTCAATCATGGTTGTTGGGATGATTAGCAATAAGGATGACCCATATGCAGCTAATCTTGGTGAGGATGATCAAGTTGCCTAAACTATTCAAATAACAATGGCCCCAAATTCTGAGTTAGATCAATGAGAGAAGAGAGGAGAGAAAGTACTATATGTATGTACTCAACACCTATAAAATGCCAGCTCGTCTCTATTTGATTATTGGCCATGGAAAACTTGGAAAGTGGCCTTCTTAAGTTGAGGTGAATGCTTCCTTAAAATTAGCACAATAAATTCATAGGAGGCCTAGGTTAATTGGATGATGTAGTCCTAAAAGGGCTTTCTCTTCTGCTAGATAATCTAGAAAGTTTGAGAGGACTTTACTTATAAGCTTTGCTTGGGACAGTTGTTGCTTCTTAAAGCATATTTCTAGTATTAAAATTTTTAATTTTTGTACTAAAAAGCTGCTTTAAAAAGCAACAAGAAAGCCGTCCCAAACGAAACCATAATGTGCTAACATCTAAGTAGTGAATGTGATAATCAGGAAAATAAAAGAATCAGTATCACTAAAACCCTTAAGAGTTGTTAGAAAGGTTGAGTAGCGAAAGTCATTAAAAATTATGACTAGCATTATATCATTTTTAAGATCTATCAAATGTTTGATGGGGCTTAAATCATCCCCTTATAATAGTCAAGTTGTGGCAACTTGAAGTTCAATGGGATGGACTCTTCAGGATCTATGCTGATAAATTATATGAGAAGACGAACTAACAAAAAGAACATAGAGATTATAAGTTGACAAGAATAACCTCCCACTGCGACCTCTTCCCTTGATTTCAAGGATGATGGTGGCAAACTAATTATGGCTAGAAAAGACTGGAGGTAGCAATAAGAGTGGTGGGTAAAATCAGAGTGAAGCACATTGAAGGTTGTAACAAGATGTTTTTCTTCTCATAAAGCTCTAATAACTATGCCTATATTACAAGAGTTGACCAATCATGATTGGAGCCCTCACCAAGATGGTGAGACAACTTATTGTTATGGCTACTAAGCAACATGAAACTAGATTAATGGAGGAGGAGAATCCATAGGTATCTTTGTTAGATGATGCCCTATTTCAAATTTCCTTTAAGCTTTACGTTCTTTAATTTTTTTTTCCCCTTTTTCCTTCAAGTTCTTAACAAGAGCACCAAAAAGATGAGAATGATGATTTCTTTCAAGATGGTCGATGAAGGACACATGGAAGATTAGGGATGAAAATATATGACAAGACCCAAAAATTTAACTCGGGTCCAATTCGTTTAACAAACGGGTCAATATTGGGTACTCGATTGATATATCAGGTCGGGTTCGAGTTAACCTGCAAACCTAAAAACAACCCGTTTGACTCAAAATTGTGCTCGCCCCCTCGTCCTTGTCCCCTTGCCCTTGCAGCCCTCGCCTTCTTGATCAACGCTCGTTGCACTCGCGGGTTAGCGGGTCGAGTCCTGGTCTGAATTTTTAACCCGTTTGTTTAATCAAGTTGGGTTCAGGTCGTATTAATTAAAGGCATGACAGTTTCGGGTTGGACCCAGACCCGACTCGAAATCCCAATTTGACACCCCTACTCACTCATTCACTACCTCGCCCTCTCGCTCACGCTCATGGCTTAGCGGATCGGGTCCAGGTTTGAATTTCTGATCTAATCAAGCCATGTTTATGTCGAATCAATTAAAGGTGGGCCAATTTCTGATTGAACATGAACCAGACCATATAACTCATTTTGACACCCCTAAATGTAATAGTCACAAATATTAATATTACATGAGAGATTTATACTATGAAGGACATATCTCAAACTAGATAGCCAATAAATGATCATAATATATAGAGCAAATTGGGGCACACATTATTTAAAAAAAAAAACATAAGATATTAAAAGTTTTGAATAATTTATAATTAAATTGAAAATATAATAGAAAAATATAATAATATAAAAAAAATATAAAATAAAATCAAATAAAACACAATATTATATTATATATGAAGGTTAATGAAATGCACTATATTTTCACAACTTTCTTTTTAAGTTAGGTCTAAATTTGAGATTATTCAATTTCTTTTAGCTAATAAATATATCAATATGACTTACATTAAGATGCAAATTTTGAAAATTGAACAATATAAACAACATTAATTAAACCCTAAATTTAAGAAGCAACAATACATTACATAATACGACCAACATTTGACCAAATTAGAATAAGCAAAATTAAGCATTAGATAAACAAAAGAATTGAAGTACAAATGCACGAAAAGAATATATATACAAAGAGCACAAATATTACTTAACCAAAAAAAAAAAAAAGAGTGTCCAAAATTTTTGCTGATAAACAAAGAACTAGGATTGTCATGCATGTCATGTAAATGGCATCGCATATCATTACATAAATAAAAGAAATATAACGAAATGGAAGCTATTTTGTTCCAGAGGGTGCCAAGTGTTAGGAATTCACTAGTGTGTTTGTGTACATACAACAACTGTTACTGATGTTACAGAGAGCATTCAAGCTGAGGCCAACGCACTTTTGAAGGTCAAATTGGTAGAAGACAGTCGGAAAAAAAGTCGGTAGGTTTAAGCAGGACAGCCAAAGATGGGTCGATAGACTAGAGCTGAGAAAACAAATGTGGGCGGGCTTATCCTTTTCATAATTAAGATTTACCACTCCAAATCTAAAGTCAATCCACAAGGATATTTGAAATATTGAAAAACAGAAATACTGAAGGGACCAACTCATATAGTTGCCAGAACAAGCTAATTCAAAAAGCTATGCAGATTGAATGAATGTATGTAGCTGTAAGGGCTAATAACACAAGGTTAGTCACATGCTCCATTCATTCTATTTACTAATCAGTAACTAAATCTCTTCTACATCTTACTTCTGATAAACATTGGTAGTAAGATCGCTGTAAGAAGCAGTATATTACCAAAGCCGATTCTCAATAACAGCAGATATAATTTCTTTCAGAGTTCCCTGAACAAGGAAATAAGCAAAGGTAAGATAACCAAGAATGTTTTAGCAGCCCTATGTCATCACCTGATAGTCATCACCATCACAAGCAATCTTTTTTCCTACTTGGAGTTCAATTCGTGAAAGTAATGAGGATTAGGATGCATTCAAATTTTGTTATAGTTATCCTACTGACTGAAACTCTCGGCCTTTCCATTTATAGGGTGGATTAGAAACTTGAATTTCGCCAATAGAAAAAAAGAAAACCAGACACTGCAAGGTGCGTGCCTATATAATTATACAGAATAAAATGTTTTGCAACTATTTTTAACACTTTAAAAAGTATTCATAATCAAAAGCATGATTTGCAGGCATTCATAACTAGCAAGTATTATACAAAGTCAAAGTTGCCAGAAATTATTGAAGGAAAAGAGGCAAATTTCATCATTTTGGATGTTAAGTTTTGAAATGATTTCTTAATTATGTCAAAATTATTAGGCTCACTTATAAGGATATTATGGTGATTGATTCTAATAAGAAGACGTCACTTAAAAAAATTTAGGAATAAAAAAATATTATATAGATCATATATAAATATTATAAAGAAAATATGGGATTGCCAGCTTCATTAAGATATTCATTCATTTCTTGAAACCTTATTTCCAATATGATCAAGATAACTATAGTTATAAACCTGAAGTCATGAAGATTTAGTTTAAGTAATTGAAAATAAAAATATATGTAGTAAGCTTATATTTGCAATGAATAAGGTTGTAGTTTATCAAGATAATTTTAAATACTTTGAAAAGTTGATAGCTCTCACAAGTCAAAAGAAATGCAACCTGGTTAACTCATCATAACTTATTTTGTTATATTTATGATATTTCTACACCTTTAACTAAATCAATAATTTTAATATTTATTTCATTTTGATGAATGGTGAGAAATGTTTGGCTCTAGCATTCTGAATTTACAAAAGCCGGATATACATATTCTCAATCAAATAACTACTTTGGATGTGAAATAAATTAGAGTGTGTTTGAGCAAATTAATACCAAGAGAAGAAATCATTAGGAGCATTAAAAGCAAAATGATCTTGTGTATGTTTAGTACAATCTTAATATGAGAAATATATATACTCTTTATTAATAAAACATATGTTAAACAAATGCTTACTCAATAACTCAGTATTTTCTCACTTTTAGCTTATGATGACAATTCATAGTCCCATAAACTCATATTTGCTTTGTAAGTTGTACCTTAAAAGAATTTATGATCCTTTGGACTAGACAACTTTTAAGACCAGATTTTTAGATAATTGATGATGAACCTATTTTTGAACTTGATCATGATAAATTCAAAAGTAAAATTTATAAAGAAGATGTTATTACAAATACTAAAAAGACCAATATGACATGTGATAGGAAAATTCAAAGTAAATTTCTAAGTTACTAACGATATATAAATTCATTATTTGGGTAAAATAATAAGTTTTACATCACATATGTTATAAAGATGAATGTGATGACGATATAATTGAAAATCTTGAATTTGATGATTTTAAAACCTTTGGAGAGGGAGTTTTTGATGAGCAAATTTTTGGGGAAGCAACTTTTGAGGAGAATATTTTTTGGGATAAATTTTAAATATATTTTATTTTAGACTACACTATTTACACTTTATGTTTAAAATTATATCTATGACAAAGTTCATAAAATGATCGCGTACATTGAATCATAAATATTTTGATATATGAACACTTTATTAGTATTAAATAATGTCAAACTATATTTTACTCTCACCTTAAGCTATTACTTATTATTTCATAAGTGTTCTCAATGCAAATGCAATGATGGTGTATGCTGAATAATGGGTGTTTTGTTTTCATTCTCTCATATTTATTTCATTTATAAGTGACCAAATTTTTAAAGGAAGGAAACACAAGATTCCAAAAGACCATATGAATTTTGCTTATTATGCTACCAAAGAAGTTAATAATTTAATTATCAAAGGCATTTAAATTTATAATTATTGAAGATATTACTTGTGCATGAATTTTTTTATTTTGATTACATGTTTGCATTATAATTATCTCATTATTACATTGTGGGCTCCGAAAATTTGCGTCCCGACCTCCCCCACCTTCAGGAGAGTTTTTAACGAATTAGGTTTCGGGGTAAATTTTCAAAAGGCATATTGGACTTGAAATAAGACACTACCCAGAGATTTTGTCCTCATTTTGCGAGGACTTTAGATCTGAGTTCTAGCTTCCTATAGACGCAAGCCGCTATGGTTAATTACCCCTCCCGATAACGAGAGAAAACTTTCGATTAAGGCCAGTTGTCAATCAAGTACATAGCATGTATATGAGAATTTGATATTTAAAATTAGAAATTTCACTATCTTACACGTAAAGCAGATGGTGGAGGAATGGATGATGGACCCAATCAAGATCCCATGGTTATGTCATCCCAGGTCAGCATGGTCCCTAGTCTACTTAGTCAGAAGAGGTAGTCGACCAAACCTGATCGAAGGATTCTTGTCGGCAGCCATAAGTTGCTTCGTCCAAGGGTACCCTAAGACCTGGGTAAATATATGTCTAAAGAGAGAAATCTGAATCCACCTTAACTAATAGAGGGCTTCGTGCCCAATTAGATCATATTAATTCATTGCTCAATGATTTGATGTTGTTGGGGAACATACAGGCTTTAGCCATAACCATAATTTAGTGGTGTCATTTAGCGACAAACTGTTGGAGAATTTTTGTATCCTCAAACGGATTGCATATTTTATCATCGAGTACGTCATAAGAACATGACATATTATCCCGAAGGGTAAAAATATCAATTCCTTATAGACTTAATAATAAAATTTATAATTATTAACAGAGATTCCCCCACTCGATGTTTGGTCGAGTGGGGTTTATTTATTTCTGGGGTACAGACGTCCCATAGGGGCAAACCCCTATGGTTAATTACATCCCAAGTTTTGGCTTGGGAAAACTTTTGATTAAACTAGTGGTTTTACTTTCTTTTTGAAGTCATTTAAACATTGGCTAAGATTTGATTTTTGAAATCCATGAATGTCTTAGTTAAAGAAGTTTTGTCCCTTTAGGAATTTCAAGAAAGAGGTGATCAACTAGGAATTAGATTTTGGAATGAAGACCAAGGGAGGTGAAGTAGGAGCACTTGATTCTGAGAGAAACTCAGAGGTGCTCAAACTAATTTTGGTTTAAGTTGATATTTTTATTAGAATATTGGGGCTTACATCCCAACAACACTCGTTGGAAGAATTGCCCGAAAGATGAAGGCTTATAGGGTGATTTGGAATCAATCCATGCCTCAGACCCTAAGCCTAAGGTGAGGACTACCGATAAGTAGTGCCTCGAACCTGAATCTAACGAGTGTAAAAGGGACTTACAAATTACACATCACATGAGGCATAATCTGCCCGACCTCTGGATTTACTGTCCCGCCTGGAAGGGACTACCAGCTAAACCCTCCTAATCGCTTTTAAAACCATATGTCTTGGTCTCAATGCAAATGTAGAGTGTATGGTTGTTTTTATTTAGAAGGTAGGACTTATAGCTTGGCTTTGAGGCCAAGATACCTAATTATGTGGGTATGCATATGCTGACTCACAAATGCAAACTTTTTTTATTATGTAGTCCTTAAGTGAGAGTTTTATATATGCAACATGCTTTTGGCCATGCATGATTGTTTTAAATTTTTGAAAAATTTGGCTCTTTGAAAGAGAGAGAAGCAAATTTTCTTTTCTTAAAAAATCATGGAACCTAATTTCATTTTTAGATTTGCTTACATGTTAAGAGGTAGAAAATTTATTTTATCCTAAGAGCCTAACGCAACAGAGTCCAAGCCATACCCAAACAAAACAAATAAAAGAAACCTATTAAAGACATGTTGTTCTATTGCACACCCAGTAAACAAAAAACACATGCTTTTGTATATAAATAAAGTGCAATAAATGTAGATAGAGTCCAAGTTATTACAGACATATTTGACAGCTGAGTTGTCTGTCATTATACAACCCAGTTAAACTTACAGACTCTACTTGTGGGGGGTCTTCAAGCTTCAACCTTCAGAGGGGTCTTTAAGCTTCATCTCCAAAAAGGTACTTTCTCCCTCAATCCTTCTTTCTAATCCAAGCCCCACAATTTTTACATTCTACTTCTAATCAAATACATGATATAAAATGGAAAAAGACTCAAACCTACAAAACATAGTTAGGAGACAGTTTATATAATAAGCATATAATCATCCCAAAATTAGTCTAGCACTTAGAGTGCTAAGTGCTAGGCACCTGCTTCTACCCTATTGGTCATGCCTCTTGGGGGGTTTTAAGCAGCGCCTGCAAGCAAAGAGCATTAACATAATCATGACATTTACCCCTTCTTAGATATAGACACTTGCACAGAAAAGCATTTATATATTTTTATACTAACCACTTAAGGGCAAGTGCTCACAACACAGACAATCTAAAAGGCAATCACTCCACAACATCAATCACATGCACACACAAAAAAAAATCTTAATCCTAGCATGCCTAAGGGGTTGTGCACCTAAGTGTGAGAGGCTTGTGTGGTATGTCACACTAAGAGTCCTTCTAGAGTTTGGGTCTAAGGAGAAAGTATTCAACATGTGGCTTTTGAGCTCAATGTTAGAGGAATTCTCTTCCTAACTTTTAGAGCTAGGAAAAGAGTGAATTCTTTTACCTTTGAGGCTAAAGAACGGGTAGAACGAGAGTCCAACACATAGCTTTTGGGCCAAGTGTTGGAAGAATTCTCCTTAGCTTTTGGGGCTAAGAAGAGAAAGGAGAAATCTAACATTTAACTTTTGAGCTAAAGGTTGGAGAACTCTCTCTACCTTTTGGAGCTAAAGAGAAGGGAAATCTCCTACAACTTTGAAGTTGGAGGAGAATTGAGGGAATATGCAACTTATGGGTTACACATTCATGAAAATCTTTGGACACTTTTATGTCCAACAAGAGAGTTACACCCTTCCAAC